CCGCGGTCCAACTCGAAAGCCTCCATTCGTTTCCTTCTGAGAATTCTATTCATATTTGAGAATGGGCGAGAGAGCCAGGTGCCGATTAGATTTGCTCAGAACTAGAAGGAGTTTGGATGTTGCGGCTACTGCCGGGTATATTTCCGGTTGAGTTGGTTATCGCGATAGGACTTTGTCGAGCTCACTTTCTCATCATTCGTCGCGGACTCCGCTCTGTCGCTTCGCCCGAATGTTTAATTCGAGCTCTTCGAATTTGACGGTTTCTCTATGACAGAGCCGACCGCAGGAGATGCTCGGAGTCTGGATCCTCAGTTCGCTCGTCGCTCGGTTCAAACGATCTATTGACGAAGCGATGAGGTGGTGGAATCGACGACGAGCCCGGGCAACTCGATTCCTCCCATTGTGGAATCCCTGCGCATTCAGCTGCCTGTTCCGCTCCCGCGTCGTTTTCCAAAAGTCGCTCGGTCGGGAAATTCCTGGAGCCAATAACGGTGCAGAGTTCCCTAGAAGGAGGAACTTCGACGTCTCCCCAAATGACTGACGGTTCAGAGAAGAAGTCGCGAACTTCGAGGGAAAAAAACCCTGCCAAAAATGTAAGTTTCCATCCTAAGTAACCACCACTATCACGAGTAAGTTACTGACTGTTTGACGGCCTGCAGTGTCTGTTCTCACTATTCAGGCGCGGCAAAAGTGCGGAACGTCTCCGAAAACTGTGCTTGTTTAAGTCCGCAGTTTGTGCGTTTTGAAGTTTTTTCTTCTGCTTCCTAGCTTTCATTCTCATTTTATTGCCGACTGTGTCTGCGTACTTTCGGCCGCTGCCACCGTTGCTGCTCCGGCGGCAGTTTCCCAAAAAAAGGAGGAGAAGAAAAGGGAGAAAAGCCGGATGAGCCATCAGTGTTCTTCACATTTACTGGTTCTGGTTTTCCATGCGCCAGTGCGCCGCGACGGCACCAGTTTTGTTGCTCAAATTGACCTACTTGAATGATCCCTACTGATGTGAATTCTAGTCCACAGTGCGCGTGTCTTCGCAGATCAAAGAGGGAAAAAACTGTAACTAGAGCAACACTGCACGGACGAAAAAATCCTGTCGCCGTATTGTTATCGAATCGAGTCAGCGACGGGACTTTCGGTCGATTCATCGATTCGCTTAGAATTTCCTCCCCGCACGGAAAAAATCGCTCCAGAATACGCCGCGATAATTTTACACGCATTGAAGAAAACTCCGTGTCCATCCCTCTTTTCCGCCTAACAAGTTTTAGATTCGTTCTTGATACAACGAGTCTTCAACAAGTTCTGCGGAATCGGATTCCTGATACCGACGACGGTGCTTGCTAGCGATGCTGATGGTGGCGATCCTGGTTGTAATGTATTATCGAACGCTACTCTAGGAAGGCACCGAACGAGGCGGACGGACCGGCGAACGGAATAGACAACGTCCGCATATATTTATCGCCAGATGGCAGAAGTGGTCGCTTTCAGCTTTGCCACTACCGTAGCCGAGATCGGAGATGAACCCAGAAAGAAAAGTATTCGAACGTACAGTGTTGATTGCGCCAAGCGTAGAGAAATTCTCCATGGAATGATTTTTTCTCGAGCCGCAATACTCGGACAGATCCTTCCGCATTGCTGTCGCCGCTGGTTTACATGCAAGTGACGCTCACGCTTACGATAATCGTTTCGGATCGTCCCCAAGGGAATGAACGCTCTGAGCAGTTCGTGTGGAATTCCGAGGGTCAGATATCAATTTCTGATCAAAGGGCGAAAATCGAACTCCAGCACGAAATTTCGAGAATGACTCGAGCCTCAAGAATCCGTGTGCTCCTTGGAAACGCGCGTTTCGAGCTACCGACTGCTCCGTCGGCTCCTCCTCTGGAAACCGCAGACATTTAGCATCACCAGATAGCAGAAAAAAACAGCGTCACAGGAAATTAACAACGTCAGCAGTGCTCTGGCATGCTCGGCGAGTCTTCGAGATGCGCTTTAGTGGCTAGATCGCTCGGCGTTTATTGCCGACTTTTCCAACGGAGTCAATTGTCTCTCGTAATCAAATCGTATCCAATATTTCATCAAGGAATTGGGAATACTGCGCTCTTTGACTTCGAGTTGTCGGTCGCCTGATGCGGGACGTGTGGGAACCGAGTCGGAAAATGAACCGTCGGGTCATCGATTGATTGTGAAAAATACTGCGTACGTCGCGGCGTCGGAACTTATTACGAAAAGTTGATGGGATACAGAATAGACTGGAATCCGTCGCCTGTGGTCGAAGTAAGATCCCTCGGAACGGATAATTCCTCAATCAACGGTGCGATACTTCCCGACAGAAGTCTTCTGTCCGGGAAGAAAATCGGTTCCCTCCCCCAAGCGTTGACTTTCCCCGTGATCTCGATCACGCACCCTGACCGGGACTGTATTGCCGTCTCCGCCGACCCGATGGGCCGAACGGTAAATGTGAAGATCCGCGCGGCGTATTTTCCATCAAGCCTTATCTGATCAAGGGCGGGATACCTCCGACCTATCTCCACGCTTAAAAACTAGCGAACGAGTAGCAGATGATGATGATGGCGGCATTGGCGGCGACTAGCAGTGCAGTTAGACAAAGTCTCAGCAAGTTCCATTGTGGGGCAAAGAGGCCTCCCTCAACTGTCCGACCTGCAGCTTGATTCGTTCCTTCGTTCGGCTGGCTGGTTGGCCGCCTGCTCGCTGGGTCGTTTGGACAGCCCAGGCAGGCGATCGTTCGCCGTTTGCTTGCTTGCTTACGGTCCCGTCAGCTCGCCTACTTGACTGGCACATAGTTGTGGTAGTATAGCTGCGTGTGTCTGTATTCGGTAGGTATGGCGGTTAGCTGCTACTCACTGTTCGTTGGGGGCTGGGCCAGTGGGAGAGCAGCCCCGACTTGGCGAACCCCACCTCATACAGCGTGGCCACTTGCCCGACTCGACCCGCCTCCGCAAGCAGATCCGATGTGGGCTCGCTCCGTTCTCTCCGACCTATGTGTCTACGTCGAGAATGTGGAAAACCACCGGATTGCATTCGGCGTGAGCGATGATGAGGCTCGGAGTCCCTCCTTGGAGACAAATTTTCACCTGACTTCAGCGTCAGGAAATGCGTGCAACGGCGCGCTGGAGGAATTTCGATAAATCTCATTTGTTCGGAAGCTTTACCCCGGACTGAGCTTCGTAGCGCTTTTGTACTCTGCCTGACGTCGTTATAGAATAGCAATTCCGATGGCTGATCTGATGCCTGCGCGACTGCCTGACCGAATGGGTAGCCGGATGGGTCTGCGTTCCAGTTACACATCGTCGTCGTCGTAGTGTCTTTTATGGCTTCGTCAGTCAGTTTGGGGTTGCTGCTGCCGAAGCTACTACCGCTGGCGCCATCGCCGTTTCTGCGGCTGCTGCTGGCTGCAGATTCCCGGTTTCCTCCTCCGTTCCCCTCAGCCCTCCATCTGCCCCCAGCCCCCTCTTGCACCGAGTGAGCTCATCTTCTTTCCCGTTTGCTGTTGGTAGCCTGCGTTGCCGATGCCGCCGCCGCCGCGGCGGCGACTGCTTGGCCCAGTCGGTGAAGAAGGGCCTGTTCCCAGTTCGGAAAGGCTCTGGCTTCGTAGGAAGGGCGGGCGGGTGGGTGAACTGGTATGGCAGACAGGCAGGCGGGCGGGCGGGCAGGCGGATAGGCGGCGGGACGGCTGGCTGGCTGACTTGTTCATGTCTCGCAAACGGAGCCCTCTCCTTTGGCGCTCTGTTACGTAAATGGGCTCGCCATTGTGCCGCTGCCGTCGCCGCCCTTCTCCCTTTTCCCCAAGTCGTCGTCGCCGCCGCCGCCGTCGACCTATCCCTCACTCTTGGATGGAAGAGCTGGGTGCCGGTGCCGCTTCTACTGGGAAAAGGGAGGGGGACGACGGCTGCGGCGGTGGTGGCGGCGGCGGCGATCGTGGTGGATGTGGAAGACGAAGGAGAGAAGCTAAGAGCAGTTGTAGCTTTGGTCGGTTGTCTCTGTTCCTCTTCCCTCCCTCTCCCATTTTCTCCCGGTCTCGTTCGGTCTCCGTCCCCATCGCCCGAAAGCCCCGTCGTAGTACGATCTTTTACTCCCCCCGTTCTCTTCCTCTCCCCCTCCAGTAGTACGCCTCCCAGTCGTCGTCCGCGTATTTCCCTCATATCTTTTGCCCGGCTCCTCTTGACTATGTTTTATCTGCCGTGCTCCTTTTCTTGGCCTGGTCCTCTCTCGTCGAAGCGTCGTCCTCTCCTCCTCTTCGGATCTCAGACACAAACCGTCAAGGAGAGAGCTTGGAGGCCGCCAGTTTGCCGGGCGGGCGGGCGGGCGGACGACTGGTCGGTCGGCGAGCGGCTTTCAGAACTGGGTGGTGGTGTTTGTGGATCTGATCCTGCTGCTGCAGTGAGCGGTAAGGAGGAGGGTGGGTGCGTGCGTGCGGAGTGAGGGAGGGGGCGGCCGGGGCGCGACGAACACTGCCGAATGGGGGACAAGAGATGAAGATGTACACTGCACACACACACGAGCGCAGAGAGACAGACGCACACGACGAACGGGCGCCTTTGGCCCTAGTTCCCTCCTTCTCATCCTCTTCTACGCTGTTCCCGATGCTGCTACTTGAGTGACTGGCTGGCTGTTCCTCTCACTCTCTCCTTCACTCCTTCGTTCGCCCCCGAACTGGCCCAGACTACCCATATCGGGTACGATCCCCTCGTTTGCCCCCTCTTCCCTCTGAGAGTATCTGCCCGCCAGCCAGCCTGCTTGACTGACTGCCGGCGGGCTGGCTGGCCGGCAGGACTGCCTGCCCGCCGTCGGGCTAGGGGCTTGACGGCATCGGTCGGGAAAAGAAGGAGAGTGGGACTCGTCGCTCATGGGTGAGGGAATGGGGACCGGGCCATGACGGGGAGGATAAAGGAAGGCCATCTACGACAACAGGGCCTGCTGCTCACCGCCAGTGAGACGGCCAGGCTTCCTGCCTGTTTGTCTGCCTGGGTGCCGCCATCCAGGCTACCAGGATGCCCGCTGAGGAGGGTTTGGGTTGTAGGGAGGAGACGAATTGCGCGGCAGCGTTCTTCAGCGATGCGCAGAGTATTACGACCCCACCAGGGTGGTTGTCGGCTGCTCCGTTGGCTGGTCGTTCGGTCGGTGGGTTGGATGGTTCCTCCGTCATTCTTTGCTAGGTCTTTCAGTCCGTTCCCTGGCTGTCCAGTTGTCTGTCGGGGCGGTGGTCCGTTTGTTGGATATTCAGCCGACTAGTCAGCCCGGGGCGAAAATTCACGCAACAATGTTATTCACCGGGCACTCGAGCTCGACTGGAAGCAACAGTATTGCAACTCGCTTCTATTTCATCGGAAGTTGTTTTAATCCCCGGGATCCTCTCGTGACTCCGAGCGTCCTCCAGGGCGACCTTACCCTCTAAAGAAAATAATAATGCATTGCGCAGAACTCTGGGGCGTAGAGGAGATGAGGCACGCGAAGAAAATCACATGCTCGAGAGCATTCCGATTTCCGATCTTCGTGTTTATATTTTCGGCTTTCTGTTCGACATCCGAAACGAAAGTGTTTTGATTCATATCGGACTTGGTGAGAAACGGAACGATAAGCATTCCGTACAACCGTTTACATTTCTCGGCCAACTTGGTCAAGTTTCAAGTCACTTCGGAGAATAGTTTCGATCGATCCGCTGACTCTCCGAATATCCCGACTCGAATTTCTATCGATATCACTTTCGATTAAAATCCTTCGAAACGTTCGATAGAGCTAACGAGTTTTCTTCCAGGTACTCGGAACGAGGCGGAAATCTCGGGAAAATCTTCGAATGCAAGCGGGATCCGAGGCGCAAGAGCGAGCGATCTCGACGAAACTTCGATGAGATCCGCTCGCGATGTGGAGGAAGCAGTCTTCAGGAAAACAAGGACGTGGACTAATATCTGAGTTTTGATTTCAGGAATAGTTGCTGACTGAATCACCGCCGGCGTACGAAACGCTTGCCGATCCGCGATGCCGGATGATGATCTGGAGGCCCCGTCGAGCTTAGCCGAGATTTAACTCGATGTTTTTATTACAGATTTCCGTTCGGTTTCGCTATCGTATCATTGGAGGTCGCCATCGCATCGCCACGTTGACCGTCCGCTTGTGTGCCTGCTTGCGTCTGCCCGTGAATCGCATGGATAGCAAAACGAATGCATGAATGATTGATTGGACAGATGAATGCATGTGATGTTCGGGAAAACTTCTCTAGAACTCGGCGTCAGAAAGCTTCGCGGAGAGGCAAATCGCTCTATTTTTTCCACCCCAATATCTTCCCAAACGAGTGTCGAGAGATCTCTCCGTCTCTCGATCAAAGGATAAATGAATGAGAATGCCGTATACATGAGTTCAGCAGGCAGCGGTCACGAGCGCGTCACGCAGTCAATCAATGAGTGTAGCTCAAAACAATAAACGTCGTCATTTTTTTCGTCGCGGAGTGATGTCTGCCGCAGGTTCCTTTCCTTGCTCGATTCTTTTTCTGTCTGACGAACTCGAAGTGCAAGCGAAAAACGTTTCGTCGACCGAGAGGAATATGGGATTCGGCAAATCTAACATTACACCTTTCTTTTCTCTCCTCGTGCAGCTAAAGCAGACTCGTCGACGGGACCGGTTTCGCCTACCCTACCGAACGGCAACGGGATCTCTCTGACTCCTGTAACGAGCACGGGGAACTCGGCGATTTCGTCGTATCTACAAGCAACAAGCGGACAACTCGATCAGAAGCCGACGTTGGACCTATCGCCAAACGCATTGCCTCAGTCTCCGATCTCGATGTTCATGAACGGTGGACTGAATATGAGCGCATCGCCCTCAGCAAATCCGAACAACTGCCTCTCGGGCGATTCTCCGCCGAACCCTTTCGAGCTCATGCGGCGCATAAATGAGCTTTCCCTCCCCCAGAAACTGATGCTGTTCGGCGCTGCGGCAGGAGCGCAGAGTCCTTTGAGTCCCCATGCCCACCAAGGGGGACATCGCGGACCCCTTATGGACTCGCCCATCTCCAGCGGTAAGACCGCAGGTCGGTACCGCTGCGATTTCTGTGACTATCACGCTGTAACGCCGAGCCATCTTCGCAGGCACCAGAGAACGCATACGGGTACGTAACCTTCTCAGTCCGTCCGCTCACGCGATATCCAACATACACTGAGGAGAATCTCTTTTTCTGACCTTCGTAGGATACTTTGGGGAGAAAATAATGAGCGTGATGATGTCTCGAGTGAACTCGAGCTTGTGGTTCTAGCCTTATCGCACAAGTCGCGCCAGAATTAGAGTTTTCCCATTTCCGATTGCAGGTGAGAGACCCTACGAGTGCAACATTTGCAGCCGTCGCTTCACTCAGAAACCATCCTTGAAGAGCCATCTCTCGACTCAGCACGGCATCTCGTAAGACGATGTACTCCGCCTTGACGCGATCGACTACGGGTCGTGTCGGGGTGTGGCCTAGTAGACATGACCACCACTATTGTCACACACATCTATCAGTCGGTCTCTCTTCTCTATCCATCCATCCAAACATACATCCATCGATCCGTTTCCAACTATCTCTCATCTGGATGCCGTTTCTCAACTGTCAAACTTGCCAATATTGTACATTTCAACATATTCCCTCGCTCGACCCCTCGAACGGCTGCCGCCTTTCTCCCCTCCGTCCATCATCGTTTGGTCGGTCGTCCGGGGAACTGGCGGCCAGCGGTGGTGCGAGGCCATGTATGTGCTGAAATCTTTTCTCAATTTTTGAGACTCATTGAAGACTAGCTCTAGAGGGCCAAGTGGCGCAGTTTCGAGCCTCACGCAATCCCGTAGCCGGCGCCGTCCTACAGCGACGCTCGTGTAAGCTAGTACTCTAACTACAACAAAATCGACCGCGCAAACAACTCGATCGATCGACCGATCGAGCTGTGATATGGGTGGTTGATTGATAGATTGACTGCTTACTTCTTCATGGATTCCCTCAGACCATAACATCAATGACCACACGAAAAAAATTTGAACAACTATACTGACGACGACCACGAGGACAACGATGGCAAGTTCAATTCCTCGATATACACCGGAGGGCTGGAGCGGTAATCGGTCCCGACTCAAGGGCGAACCTCGATTGTTGTTGTCGAAGGTATCGCCACCGTTTACCGCGTCTTCACATTCCCACTTCAAACAAGTTCCCGCTGGCATGAAGGAAAAATGAAGCCAGATGACGTCCTGATCTCATGTCTATGGTGCTGCTCTGATCATCATTCCGATCTCGCTGTCGTTCGTCGAGGGACACGACGCCCGTGCTCGAGCAAGAGGCGCCTTCCGAAGATTCTGAACCTTCCACACCCCGTTGTCGACGAAAGTGTGGTCACCTGCGTGCGTGCGATTTCACGTACGCTGTCTGCTGGACAAATGCGAGTCTGGATGCTGAGATTAACAATGGAGAGACAACAATTAGGAGGCCTGCAAGAAAACTCCTATGGATCCAACATTCTGTCATACTTCCCGAATATGTTTTTTCCGGAGCCGAGATCGCGACGGTTGTGCAATGTACTGGGGAGCTGTTTCTTCCCCTTCCCTCCTCATCATCGACAGGACGACTTCGACAAACGAGTCAATGACGGTGATGATGATGACAAGACGATGGTGACCACAACCGGTGAATTGTTGACCCAACGTAGAAACGAAAACCCTGTAAGCTCGTTTAGTGATAATATAAACTGACGGAAAACAAACGAACAGACAGACAGAGACGCAGACAGACGATATCCCAGAAGCAGGCGATGTTCATACGATATTATTACTATATTGATATCATCGAGGTATACTCAAATCAAAACTATTTAGTCCAAACTTCTCCTCGTCCCATTTGAAGTCGTCTGAACTCACAAGGCATTTCCTTCATCTCCCCTTTTTTGCTCGAAACGAAGCAGCCTGGCTGGCAGGTTCCATGGTGCATTTACTCCATACATACATCCATACATTGGTTGATATACATTTCGCGACAGCAGCAGATGAACAAACACTGATTTTATGTGCTAACATGCTAATTGTAAAGTCCGTGCTGCGTATTATTCGTGCGTGTGTGTGCGTGATTGGTGTGTGTATTTGTATGTGTGCAGCCCGGATGCGCAGCGGCCGTCCGGGTTTGCTTTCTACAAGCGAAAAGAGTCACGGATAAAAAAAGTGTGTCGTTCTGATTTCGGCATACAAACTGTGGTGTGTCTGTGTCGTGGTGAATGTCTACCCATGAGTTTGTCTATACACTTATAGCGCGCAATTACAACATACAAAAGTTGAAACGATGATAAGAGTAAACAACAACAACGCTGACCGCTCCTGCGAACCGATCAACATCGTAAAGAAAAGCAACAAGATTAACGGAGGCAATTGCCACAAGACACCTACTCCAATAAGCGATGTAGAGGAGAAGCAGCAAGTACAACATGTTTCTACTCACTCAAGAATCTCTACCTTATCATTCCATCGAGCTGATCGCTGTCTCTCACGAATCCAATTCGCTTGTTCCGATTCAAACGGAACGGAGACGCATTTTTCGTGCAATGTACGATCAGTACCGCAGAAATATCGAGCGTATTACGAACGGCTCCGACTACACTCAATTTTTCGGAAAAACTCATTTTACATGTCTGCGTCCGACGGGGAATCGTCAAAAAGCTCTCGGCTGGCAGTGTCGGTTTTACACACGACGATGAGATTCCCTTCGGAGGAGACGAAGGAAATTCACAGAAACTCCGACAGGCGATCAGGGCATTACTCTGCGCAAAACGCACCAAATCGATAAAGCACATACAAATTAGATCGATCCCGAAGTCATCATCATGGGGAGTCGTTCCTGCGAAATTTCTGGTGAATAATTATCGCAACAATCAAGTACCTTCTGCGAACGGCTATACCTGAACGAGTCCTGTCTGTATTGGTGTCAGCATTGGGCATAGTAGTAAGAGGCATTCAATATTTTGTATCGGCATTGTTTTTCTCGTCCCCGAGAATGCTTTCCTTGACATTCAGGTGAGGAGCCTGAAGTCTCGGGAGACGCTTGACCGGGCATCAATCGGAATAATGTCTGAGAGATTGACTGTCTGGCCGATTGATAGATTGGCTGATTGATTGATTGAGTGAGTGGATGAGTGGAGCATCTTGTTGGAGGATATATCTCGTCCTCGTTTCTCAATGATCTGGACATGCGTGCCAATCATTTCAGACACCACGGCTTGATACGATGCCACAAAGACAAGTCGGCAAGGACTGCTCATCGGTCTGGCCTGCCCTGTGCGACCTCACCCATTTGGAGGACAGCGAACGAGAAATACAAGAATGGATCTGAGATTCAAAATCAGATTTTTTTCCCTCGAACGGCAGGCAGATCGCAAATGCATTCGAGTATATTTTTCGGTGAACAATTTAGCTAAGAATCGGAGCAACAAGCGCCGTTGCGTTCAAAAATCACAGGATCGAACTACACACAAACTCTGACTACGAACACCCACGAGTAATTTCAGTACTGTAAAACCGGGGTCGTTCCTGCGCCGCCGGCAGCGATCCACATCCGCTGGAGACGTGAGCAGTTGCCGTCGGCCTCGATCTCGGACATTATTCTCACTCAGATGAAATATAGATTGATGCTGGGAGGATATTTATTTTTGTGCGTGCTCGCCGCGTCCGAGCGTGTATGTGTGTGCGTGAGCACGTGCAACCGTGAGCGTCTTCGTGAAGCGCGTTCCGTGGAAAGCCTCGCTTCGACCGTTCGACGACGGTCGGAGGGAACGCTTCCCGAGATGAGCGATGTACTACGTCCTCAGTGTGAATGGTGTTTGATTGTTGAGGGTCATCTGCGACAGCCTCGAATGTATTCCCCGATTCCTCGCTGTTACGTTGCGATGAAATCTCAAATCCTGCCGCTGGTAGATGGAGCTGAAAAGAGCAAGCATGACGATTACGGTGATGATCTAGAATAGATCTTTTTTGTACATATGTCGACTCTATTTTTGTGACGGCTCGTGCAATGCGGTGCCGATGAATTCGTGAAGCAAAGAGCATTTGTTTCCGGTAATCCTACGACCACAAACGACCGACCGATCGTACGGTCAGCCGAGAACGTGCCGACAGGAAAATTCTCTCAAGCCAATCTTGTAAGCCGTTCGGTTGAAACACTGTAGGAACGTCACACATACACACTCCATTCTTCGCTGACCCTTGTCGCCCCCTCCTGTTCGATCCCTCTTTTTCGAAAACCTTTTCCGTATCGATATATGGCGAATATATATTATTATATATATACATTGCGGATATACATATAAATTGATTGATATATATTATATATATTATATACATGCTTACATGTATCTGTCTGTCTAGAACCTAGAAGAATATAGTGCAATTATTCAACCACACCCACAACCACACACCACATGGATGAGAACAAAGTTCACGACGCCGTGAATCATCATCTATATTATTGACACCACTATTATGCGACAACTCGGTCATTACCATTGTCACGATGATGATGGTGAAGAGATTATTTAAACTCCTCAAGAACATTCTCAACAACAACAATTAACTCTCACGTATACCTAGAGCATTATCGCCATTACTTACGCTAAGCCGATCGATCGTCGACGATTCCGACCAGAAAACGGAAAATGATGTCTGATGGGTGAGATTCCGCTGAAATGGAGAAGGGCCAGGCCTCACGAGATGGAAAGAGACTCGGATCGAGCGGGACTCCGTAACGCGTCAAAGCTCTTGCCCAAAGGTCGCCAAATCTTGCTCAAACGAGTCAATCGTTATCGATTTGTTCAATCTCTCACCCTTCCGCGATCGGTTCTGGATCATTACCAGATCTTCTTCCTCGGAGAGGACCCTCTGTTCTTCCACAGAGAACTCCCAAAATCCGCTCATGCTACTAAGATCTTCTGCGTATATTTCGATGCTTCACTCGAGAAACACTAGCAGCCAGAGGAATATGGATTTTCCGGATGATTTTTCATCACTTTGACTCATCGATCGATCGACCCAACTACCTCAACAACTCATCGATGCGACGCAAATGATATTTTATTGAGCATCTTCTTCCCCCGAACGTAATAGTCTCATTTTTCTACAAGACAAAATCTATCGCGCTGAGAGCAAACGGGAAGTGCTTCCAATGGTTTGCCGGATGGCACATTCGCCGACTGGACCCGATACGAGCGATTGGTGCGCCACGGATAGCTTTCTCCTTTCACGAGGCCGAGCACCGTTTTTCGACCTGGACGATATGCGGAAGACTCACTGATGATGTGCACACGAGCGTGCGCGCCGATCATTCAAACAGAATCGCGCGAGCAAAACACCCACGGAGAGCTCGCAAAAGTCTCCGAGAATACTCATTCCTCTTTCTCCCCCTCT